TCAAGCCAAATCGATTATCGTGGATTCTGATTCGTTTGTTATCGCGTTGAAAGACGTATCAGATTCGTTGCAAGTATTCTTTTTGTAACAACCTCCTATCTTCATTCTTTATGTATTCTTGATATCTGACGTGGCAAACTTCCGAGAAGGTTTTGTTCCCAGCTACCTTTGCTTATATAGCAAATACTTCAAGTATTGAATCATGTACAATCCTAGATCAACTTCTTCTGGTACCAAACCTAAGCCAGAAGAAATCAGTGTTCCAGTTAAACTTTTAATGGAGTTTCTGGACAAAAAAATAACAGTTGACACTAGTAAAGGCGAACTGTTCGAAGGCGTTTTGATTGGAGCCGAGGAAAATATGAGCCTGTCTTTGAATACTGTGAAAGCCACCTTTGCTAGTGGTCATACTACCGATATGGAGAATGTGTACATCAAAGGCCATAAAGTGAGATTTATCGCTTTGCCCGAAGAATCGAAAGAATGTGTCAAAAATCTTCAGAGAGCTGTTATGAGTGCTAGAGGAAGAGGTAGAGGTGGGAGAGGAGGCGGCAGAGGAGGAAGAGGTAGAGGAGGTTTCAGCAGGGGAGGCTATAGCAGAGGAGGATATTCTTCGAAAGGGAGCTCTTCTTACAAATCAAGTTCTTATTCTACCTTTAGACCAGGTCGTTAATTTTTTGTTTGTTTGTCTACATTAGAAATATGTAAAATGACTCATTTTTGTTTATAATATTATGACTTGATGTATAATTATTTGATGAAAGTGTGGTTTCTTGTGAAGATTGAAATCTGTTTGTTGCATATAAACTCAAAATAATAAATAAAAAAAAATCTAATGTATGATTGTTAATTCTAATGTGTAGTAATTCGTGAAAAAATATCTGACTTCTTGAAAGAATATTCTTCTAAAAAGAACAAATTGTATGAAATTTTTTAAGTTTCTAACAATTATTCTTTAAGAAGTTAACCAGCTAATTTTTCGATCGCTTGATAAAATTCAAAATGGACATGTGATCTTGTATCTGCAGGATTTAAGAATTATCGGGGTTTTTTGTTATTGTGTAACAAACTTTTGATGTTTCATTTTCCTGTGTTCAGTTCATAACTTTAAGAGGAATTAGTAGAATTCGTAAAACTAATTTATAACGTTAAAAGTTTGCATAAAATTTTAGAGGGGGAATTTTTAATTGTAAACAGAATAATTGCAAAAGTTGATTTTATCATTATCAGGAAAAATTCTTGACTTTTATTTAACGTTTTATTACAAAATATTTGTGATGATGTCAGAGCGCAAAAATGCGACTAAATTGTAAAAATCAAACGTACTAATTTGATACCGGTACGCTACCTGCTTAATTAGCCAGTAGCATCGTAATACTGTTACATTGATTTTTATCGTTTGCATCTGTTGAATATAGCGTTTTCGTAGATAATCTTTATTTTTATTGTTGATTTAAAGCAATTAATTCGAATTCTTTTTTAAAAATTTAACCAATTTCTCTTAGGAACGCTATTGTTGCAATATTCGTATTCTATTTTTGTGATTCCTTTTCATTTGATAATGGATATCTCGGCAATTATTGGTGAGTTCCAAGATCACTTTTTAAGAGAATAGGGGCTCTGAGTTTAATTCTTAGGAACTGATAGGTATCTTGGTATATATTCCGTCGCTGCTATACATGTAAAATATAAGTAAATGTCTTTCATTTTTTTAAATCGCTCGTTGTGGCCCTGCAGAGCAATGGATAGCACGTTAAACTTCTAATCTAAAGATCGTGGGTTCGAATCCTACCTGGGATGGCCTAATTTCTGATAATTTGATTTTTGAACAAATAAATAGTAACAAACAAATAGTCCAACACCTTATATAGAATGGCAAAAGGAAAACTTTTCTATTTTGCCACTTGATAGTGTGATTCTGTCATTTGTATATACATATTTATATTAATTGTAATTATTTAACAAAAAGTAACTAAATTTTTTCTTTGTTGACCTAGTAGGAACTGACTTTATTTTCTTTATATTACGTGTTTTTGTAATTTATTTCTTTTAGTTATTTGCTATTTATTATGTATATTATATTTTATTATTATAGTGTAATAAGTAATTGTTTATTATGGTGGTATCCCTACTAATTTGACTATTTTAATTCTATTTTTTCATAAGCAATCGTTTCCATACTTCTCATTATCCAGATTGCAGTTTTCATCTTATGTCGTTTATTCAAACGGATATTTCAAACATTATTGGTGAGTACTAGGAATATTGGAACGCCACTTTCTATTTTTATGGACGAAAAGGATTGCCAAATTGGCACTTTCTGTCTTTGTTTTCTAATGGTTCTGTTTTTGTTTTTAATTCTCATTTTCTCTCTGATTAGGATTCCGCTTCTTTTTTTTTTCGGCCATTATAAAATGCGATAAGTGTGGCAGCGAAATGAAAATAGTTTGTTGTCATGTGTTTATTACTGGGATACATACGAAAGACGTGAGGTAGATGAACAGAGACGTATAACACAATCACAAAGGAATACAGATTTTTATACAAACGATGATCCCAGCAAAGAACAGAAGAGGTATGCTGCTTTCCTTTCGAGACGGGGATCCATTTCAGACGAAAGTCCGACTTTTCCCGAAGATACACCCATGCCTTACTCGGGAGTCGAACCCACTTTATTTCAAGCAGAGTCTCATAACCACCATACTGGGTGGGGCGGCTGAAAATAGTTTAGACAGGATAAGAAATTGGGCGCCCGTTTGTTTCATTGCGTATCTTACGGTGTAAACTTCCACTAATAGCACGGGCACAATAGTTGATCTATCAAATTTTTTTCACTGGCAGCAAATCGCAATTTTCTACTTTATTATACTTTAATTTTATCTTTAATTAATACATTTTTAAGCGATCCTTGTTCGAGGAAATTCATTAAACTCGGAATTTTTGGATATATTGGAAAAATGTGTTAGCTATTTTCAAAATATATTCGAATTCTTAATATATTAACCATGCATTCGAGGAATCGGATTCATAATCTTTCATAACATACCCCATCAGTCTTTTTGCATCCTAATAGTTTTTTTTTTTTGGTTTAAATTTATTTTTTCATTTTTTCCACATTCTAATTTTTTGTATTTTTTCTGCATCTTTTCCCAGCGTTTCTAAAAATCTCGTTTTCTACTTTAAATCTTAATACTCGTATTTTTTTCCAGTTGGGTTTCCACACAAAAAAAGTAAGAACATTTTTGTTTATTTTATCTTTTTCGCTTATTTTAAATTTAATGTTGTTAAACTCTTTCACAGGAACAAGCCATTCTTTTAAATTATTTTCATGCCGAGTTCTTAGTGGTGGTCAGGGCGCGTTTTTCATACCGCGCCAAAAATAAGTTTGGCGCGTAGCGTACTGATGACAAATTAGTTGAAATACATTTCCTCCCTGACCAGTTTCAAAATTAAGATCAGAGTCGAGTTATGAGTTGCTTAACCCTGAAATAATATCGAAAGAATCTTGCTGGAATCATTTTGTCATGAATGAAAAAGTATAAAAATTTTCATTTAAAAACAAGATTTATTCAATATTCACTTGTAAAAAATCAGATGCATCTGTATGGGCTGAATTCTTGCTTTAAAAGTCAATTCCTGATGTCTTGTAGCTCGCCAATTCAGGATTTTAGAATTTCAACAATAAATGTATAAATCTGCATGAATACATATAAAACTATTTTTCGAGTACCTTTTCCTGAGTTTAGGAAGAACTGCAAATATCTTCTTATACGAGAGCAACTGTTAGTATATTTTTTTGTCATTATATTATAGAAAAAAATGCTTTTCAAATTTTCACAATATCCTTTCATATCGACAGAAGTTGCCTCAAAAATATATGTATTGCAAATTAGAAAATAAGGAGTTATGTATGCCATTTTTTTTATTCTGAGCACATGTCATGGAAAACTGATAAAAATAAGAAATTCTACAGCTTCAAATCGAAAAATAATTTTTTTGTATTTTAATTTAAGTTTTAAAAAAATATTCGAAAAAGAAAAAGTTTTGTAAAATTATTCTAGTTAATGTATAGGAATTCAAATCGGAAATTGAATTCTTTCATTTAAAAATTTAATTGCCTCTTTGATGGAAATAAAAATACTCCCAACTCTTTTTCAATTACTACTATTAGTTCATTCACTCCTTATATATATACAGTCAGACCTCTATATAACGAAGTCGCTAAATCCCGGAAAAAAATTCGTTATATGGAAAATTCGTTATATAGAGGTTAATCTTTCAATATATTTTCTAAATACAATGTATTTTCAGCATCGAGAAAATAATTTTATATTTTTTAAAATTAATGAATTTTAAGGACATTTTCTAATTTAAAGTCTACAAGTAATTTTAAACATACATTTTTTTTATAACTTGTAACTTGAAACGCATATTAGCAAATGTACCATTAATTTTGTTTGAATTTTCTGTTTGAAAGAATGTTTTCTCTCATAATACGCCTCGTATCTTTACAATTCTACACACCTCTTCAGGGGTATTTCCTTCACACACTGTAATTCGCGTTAAATTATTTCAAGTAATTGTATCACTTCATCATACGAAATTTCAGAATACTTGAAAAATAGAGAGAAAAAAATTGAATCGCAAGAAAAAAAAGTTCTTTCTATAGAAAATGCACTTCGCTATAGGGAGGTTAATTTATGAAGAAAATCGTGAAATGTTCTTGATTCCAGAAAAAAGTTCGCTATATAGAAAAATTCGCAATGTAGAGGTTAGTAATATGGAGGTCCGCAACTGTATTTAAATTTTCGAACGTTCATAAAATACTTGCTGTTCATCCATTCAAGTTCAAATACATTTGTTTAAACTTTTAGTGGATAACACTTGATGCTAATACAGTTTTATAAAATATTAATTCATTAATTAAATTAAATGAGTAAATAGTAACATACAAAAATAATAGTCCAACAGCATATATAGAAAGGAAGATCATTCTTTTTGTCCCTGTAACGCAATGGATAGCGCGCGCGTTGGACTTCTAATCCAAAGGTCGTGGGTTCGAATCATACCTGGGATGGCCTAATTTCCGAGAATGTAATTTATGAATGAATAAACAGTGACAAACAAAAATGTTCGACATCATATATAGGAAGGATATATATATATATATATATATATATATATATATATATATATATATATATATATATATATATATTTGTGCAACTTAAGATTGTGATTCCGTCCTATGTATAGACATATTTATATTAATTGTAACTTTTTAATAAAAAGTAACCAAAATTTTTGAATTCTTTGTCGTCCTAAGAGGGAATTGACTTTAAAAAAACTTTTTTTACATTACTTGTTTACATGGTAGATATGTTCTTTAGAAAACCGTACACTCAAGAATCGTGCAAAAAAAAAAAAATACATGGGACGTATGGTAAATGTGAGAATACGCTCTACAACTCTAAAAATTGTGAAAGATTAAAAACTCTAAATATTTTCCTAAAAAATTATGCAAAAAAAATAACGAAATCCATGTTAAATATTTAGAAAACAAAAAAATATTCACACATTTTCGTTACAAAAAACAAAAAAAAACGGTGTGCTTATGACCACACGATAGAAGCGATAACTTCAAATTTTGTAATGTTATTTCAGGGATTAGTTAGGTGAATAAAAAAGGGGGGATATTAGTATTGTCATAGTAAATTATTTATTCATGTGTTTGTACTCATAAAGTAATATTTTTTGTACGAAATATACATTCATATTTGGGAATTAATTGTATTCTAAGAAGGAAACAATAGGTTTATGGTAGCTGAAATAGGTTATAAATACTTTAGATTCAAATTTTTATTTAAATATATATATAAAAAAAACCTCCGTCAAGCGTTGTTCCGTACACTTCCCCGTGCTTCACTTGGATCATTTGACATAAATTGAATTTTGATTTTAAAAAATAAACTAAAGGTTTTGATTTGTCTTGAAAATCTACTTCAAAATTCCCATTTAAAATCATAGGTAATTTGTTCAGAAGACCTGATCCAGCCTTGTGAATTTTGGTTGTAATTTAATAATATTCAATTCTATCCATGAATTAATTTAAGCAAAGGGATTAGTAAGACAGGTAGTTGATTGGGAAGAGAGGAATCTAGGTCAAAACCTTAAAAAAGGGATTTAATCGGAAGATTTATATCACATAATTGGCTTATACTAGCTCTTTTGTCATTGTATGGCAGTTTTGTACAAATATATGCAGTGCTGCTGCAAGGAAAGTCTTAATTATATTTGAGTTTTTTTGCATTTAAATTATTTAATGTAACTTTTTCTTAGTACTTGTATACTTAATTTTATTTTAAATTTTAAATTGTTTTAGTTTTCGTTTTAGATTCAAAGTATGTTTAAGTAATGTGATTAAAAGAGCTATTTGTTCATTGCTATTCTGATTTGCTTACAAAAAGCGATTTTTATTCTTAAAATCGCTGCAATTTTGCTAATAATAATTATACTATTTACTTAGTTCTATTTCAACTAGGATTAGAAAGAATCTCGCATTCATTTCAGAAAGTGGTGGTGAGTGGGGGGAGAGCCCCACTTAGATCGGAACTAGGAACTTTACTTTTACGGCGTATTGGTTGAGGACAAACTACCGCTTTTCAGAGTGGCGGGAGGAAGCGTCCCTCCTTCCCTTTTAAGGGAAGGAGGGACGTCCTAAAAGTATGTCCGACTAAATACGAAAGAAGACAAATGAGGATTACATACCCAAGCGTGACGTTCATTCAAGTTCACTCTCCAGCATAACGCATCAATAGAAGTTATCACTTCAAAAAATTAGTGTGCAATGGAAATTCAATCTATAAGTACGCACAATATATAAAACAAAGAAATAAATATTAATCATTACTTGATAACAAGCGTGCACGTTTATTACGGACTGGAGGAAAATGCTATCTGTAGATGCATCAGATATGTCTAGCACAAATGTCTGTTTTGATTTAAATGAAGAATTTCATTCGTTATTAACGGTCTTTGTTGGGGTTTTTTGTTGTTACAAAGCCTGTAATTAGCGGCTGTATTATTTGGTTTTTCAAATTCAAGTTTTGTATAGCAGGATATTAAAAATAACATAAGATAACGTATAAATTTTAATGACCGCTCTACATCAGGATCACAAATTGTAGGAAATTGTTCCGCACCTGTAGAATTTCAACTGGCAAAAGAAATCACCTGTTAATAGTTGCACTTCGACTTCGTTATTGTCGACTTCTTAATTGTCATGAACTCGATCAAACAGTCTTTATGCAAAGGGCTTTAACGCAAAATTCAATTATACTGAAGAACCAATTTACAATACATCTGTTTTAAATACAACTTTTTGTTCACTAAATGTTATGATGGAAATTTCTTACATCATGCACAACACACATCGGTTTAAGCTCATTAGCAGTTTTATACGACGGATTTCTTGTGTGAATAGAATTCGAACTTCGGCTTGATTGAAATTGCGCGAGCTAGGAATGTGTATACCACAACTTTAAATTACCACGGCCACTTCTAGAATTGTTAAATATAAACGGAATTTTTTTACCCCTGATTATATTTTCATGCAGGTTGAAAAGAAAGAAGTTTTACTACATCATTACGGTAGAATGACAAGTTTCTCGAAGACATGAAAACATTTGTAACAAAATGACGCTTTTGTTTAAGAAATGGATTTTTTTAAAAATGGTTTAAACATTCCAAAACTTTTGTTAGAATATATAAACATCATTGGATGGCAAAACCACGCCATCCTTATGTTAAATAAATTAAAACTTTTTTTTAAAAACAAGCTTTTATTTAAATGCTCTAAAAAGAATAAAAAAATTTAAAACTGTTTGCTATTAACTTATAACGTCATTACACAATTTATTCTATAAAAGCTTCTCGCGAGATTTAAATACTCGTATTTACTTAGGTTGAAAATTTTAAAAATTAAAATCAATCAGATCAAATTATTTAATTTGCTTGTTTATCTACGCAGGTAAATCTCGCGGCAAGCTTTTATATCATAAATTGTGTAATGACGTTATAAGTAGATAGCAAAAAAGTTTTAAAAGAAAAGTTTTATTTTATTCTTTTTAGAGCATTTAAATAAAAGCTTGTTTTTAAAAGTTTTTTTTACTTTTAACTTTTTAGTTATCACTGGACAGGTTTTTCAGTCTATTCATCTCATTCAACACATCATTGTTGCAAAGTTGTTTGCCAACGTAAAATTTTATGAAATCCGTAATTTTAAACCAATTTTTAAAATCTTTGTGCAGAATTTGGATAATACTGTTCTACAAACGAAAAAATGTTTCGTGTGATTATCTTTAAAAATGAAGATGTTTTTAAATTTTTTGTTAAAAACGTCAGTATTCTTTTAAAAAATTGTAAAAAAAAATTTTTTTTTTAAATGACTGATTCTAAAAGAGAAAAGCCTGAACTTTTTTAGTACAGATTATTGATTCATTAACACGAAAAAAAATTCATACGGAACGATTTAGAAATCCTTTTCATAAAAATGCATCGATTTTGGTTCATTTTAGAAAAAATCGTAAGAAATAGAAAATATAATTTTCTTGTAAAGAATTACACCGTATCACCTTTCCGATTATGTAATTATTTTTGTCTGTTTGATAGAAAGAATAAGATGGGATTTTAAAAAAGTTCGAAAAATCCGAACTTTAAGCTCAATCCGATAAGATGCTCGGCAGAATAAAAAGTTAACAGGGGCAAAGGGTTTTTAATTCATATCTTTTTAACTAATTACGATATCGAAATATAAATGGTCAAAACATGCATTGTCATCCAAACTAAACGTGTATACAAAATTTCAGCTCAATCGGAAACCGAGAAGTGGATCAAATTTAACTTGCAAGATTTGATTAGACAGCGGGACAGGTGAAACTAAATAAAAGCTTGTAAAATTACCTTTATTGAAACAAGAATATATTTCCAAGGAATTATATACTATTTGAAATTAATTAAATTTTAATACAGAAATGTATTAGTCAACAAGAAATTACTTTGTATGCTTACTGTTCTCTACAAGAGCATTCTTAGAGATGGCAGGTCTAACTACGATATCAGGTTTTCAAATGTAGTTTATTCAGGATCAAAAACATTTACTATGTACTGTAGTAAACGTAAATATATACTTCAGTTTAAAAGCATTTAAAAAATCATGCTGACCCTATCTCGTGGATACGCGTGTCACTGGAACATAAAACATCCATACCTCCTTTCGTCATCTGCTGTTGTATATTTATAACACGACCTCATTTGCATTTAAGGTTTTGCCAACTGCAGATGACTAAACGTCCAATGATCGGGTTCAAACCGGATTCTAAACTCTAATCCGAGATCCCAGCACGGAAATTGGAAAAATATTAACTAGTTTTTATAAACTAACACTTACAAACAGTTTTCACAATTGTGTTATTGTTTTATTTTGCACAATTCAACACTATAAGCAACATAAATTCAACATATAAGCCTTCTCTGCATAAATTAAAAGTATAGTAAGAATCGCTTAATACGAAATTGAGGGTACACGAAATTCTTTTAACAAGAAAAAATATTTATTTTTTCTTAAAAGAATTTCGTTTCAAACGATAATGGGAAAAAACATATTTCAACAAAAGTAGGTTTATTAGAGAATATTTTATTTACATAGATATGTATATACATTTGCCTCCGAAAGTCTGCGTACAGTCGATCTCTTTTATATTCATGCAAGGATCGCTAATTAAATGAAGTCTTTCTGAGTTAATACTTTTTTATTGATTCCTCGAACGTCGTAAATTCAAATTGTATAAGCAACGATCTCCTGAATATTAAATAAAAAAACAAATATTTATATAACTTGAGAACGACTCAAATCGTGTGCGTCAAAAGTCTGCGTACACTGGGAAAAAAACCTTTACAATAATGGATTATAACTAAAAGTTAATACTTTTTAAGCTATTCCGTTCTTTCTATAACTCTCTCAACATATTTGGCAGGGATTTAACTAGCTTAGTTGTTTCATCTAAGGATATGTCGTTC